GACGAAAAAACGAAAAAAAGAAAGAAAAAATCAGACAATAACAGATATAGTTATTAATATTTTCAACACTTCACCCTCCATATGCATACTCCCTTCTAATAAACAGCTTTCCCTGTACCAACCTTAACTTCCCTTCCTTCATATGAGCTTACTCCAACTTGTTAAACATCACGATTCATTGTTCTTTATTAATACATTCTCTTAAATCGAGCCTCTGACTTCATTTTACTTTAACAAGAGACAATATGAATTTAATCTAATTTATTATACCTCTGTCTGTTCTACTACGTAATGTTAAGCAACGTTTGGAGTTCATATTCAAGTGCCTTGCTGTTCTGCTGTTTCTCTTTTTTATTTTCTTCTTCAGAATCTTGCTCCGGGGGCACAGCTATGGAACTTCTGACGTCTGGAACAAACTTGACGTATGCGTCAGCTCAAGGCCATGGTTTATAACAAGCGCTCTACGAGTCTATTTTATAACAACTATAAACTTAATAAGTTGAGAAGCATGCTATGCTCCAACAAATGTTGTAATTTGTAGATCATGCCTGTAAAAATGGCGTGTACCTGCTCATGTAGAAATATATTATTACTATTATTATTAAATCAATACACGTATTTTGCGGTAACGTCTGATTTATATTTACTTACATTTGTTCTCAAATATCAGCATTCACTCATTAAAAAGCTACATATTCTAGGTGAAAGGTACTTATGGAGCTCAGTATTACCCGACCTGCCAGGCACGGGGAAAAGTGTGGGTTCAGTGGATCAATCTTAGGATCCTCAATAAACATTCCAATATCATCCCTCTAGAATTAGCGGAATCCATTACATTTAGAGGAATTCAATCTGACCTTTAGTGATAATTAAAAGCATATGAAACAATGCGTTGACTAGGGGTGCCCAAAAAAGTGAAGTTAAAGCCGGGAAGACCTAGACAAAAGTAAAGGAACGTATTGTAACTGGGATCCAAAATCAAAGGGCAATCAAATACACAAAATTCATGAGTTCGTGCAAATGCCAAGTCCACCACAGCTTAAAGTGGAATCTAAATTACTGTAATCGATTGTGCTTCTCCCTAGGATTATCATGTGGCTGCCCGACTGTGTATTGTACGTAGACTGTATGAATAGAATGTACTTATCAGAATTAACTGGCGAAATTGGAACAGACACATCTGGTTCGTGGAATTGTATTTGATCAACATGTTGGTTGGATGTACTTGAATCACAGATATCTAGAATTCAAACCAACATTCTTTACCATAATTTTCGTGGCTGGCCTAGGATGATTTTCCACTACAATATGTGACTTTTTCAAACTCCAGACACCTCATATTAGAACGGAGAATCCTTTATTTCAAGAATTTTGATGGAGTCTCTTTTTTGGCTGAATGTTTATCATGGATAACTCATTCCGCTTTGAATAATAGACAGGAAATCTAGGTTTCAGATTAGCATTTCAACTTCTTCGAATAACAACGCTTATACATCCAAAGCAGTAACGAGTTTCTCTAATCATATCTGGACGTCTCACCGGTAAATGTTGCACTACCAAAGAGTCTGCGGTAGTAACACGTTTATTTTGTAATGATTTTTGAAATATACAGTCAAAATATTGGATTGTTTTGCACTTTTATGATGAGTCGTATGGTCATTGGCACTGAAAGCGACGTCCACCCGTTAAACCATAGCGGCTAAGGGACGTGCCAATGATTTTTCAGGAGAATAAACGAACTTTAAAGTATCATGATCTGTAGCAAAAGTAAATTTCTTTCCAAATAAATATTTATGAGGTCGTCTAACAGATCGAAAACAACCAATTCCTCCCACTGAGTTTGTGAATAACGTTGTTCAGTAACATTAAGTCTGAGTGCCTTACCGCCGGAGACGTAAATCCGTGAGGTAAGGTGAAGCGTGACATTTTTGGCTTCGACCTTTTCTAAACACGCCCTTCTTTGTGAGGAGGCAGCATCGCTGCAGATACTGGTTGTACGATGGAAACACCTTACTTTTGTCATACCTCTCTACAGTCGGTAGTACGACTTCTCCCTTAGGCCTTGAGTTGCTACTTTTAGACTAACCGTTCTCCGATCAACTCGCCTGGCATGTTAGAACCTTCAGGAGCATATGTTTTGGCCAATATAGCTCGGTCGGGTCATCATGATAGGCAATCTCGACCACCACGTCATGGTAGCAGCTACGGTCGGGAAAATTCAATGTCAAAATCTGGAAAAAAACTTGGAACCAAAACGGCAATAGTATGGAAGAGCACACACTAGTGAGTGAAGTTTTGTAGAAATTTTAAGATGTGTCGCATTTGTCAGTCGAGCTAGTCTCATCGTATCTGGTTTAGAATTGTTAGTGTTGTTTGGACAGGCAGAAAGGAGTATTAATTGTTGTTAAAGCGGACGAAGAGTGATCTAAAGGAATATGAAAATAAGCATCTTTCAAGTCAACCATGAAGTCAGTTTAAAATCTTTTCAGCTTCCAACGTAGTGCACATTTGCTTAAAAAATTAAAGTTCAGTGTTGATCTATAATCACTACATATTTTAGGCATCTTGCCATCAGACTTCAAGTGCACAGCAACAGAAGCATCTCATGCTGAATTTTTTTAGTCCAGTATTGACGGTCGTAGTTCACACTGGACATGTGTGAAGTATTATCATGTCTTGTTGGCAATTCACAGCATCTTAGGATGGGTAGTTTATGTCCAGTAATACCCAATATTGAGACATCACTGGGTCGTACTACAACGTAAGAGTCTAAAGATTTCAGTTGTTGAGTGAAACAATGAACTATATACTGTCTGTGTCAATAATAAAGTCATAAAATGAACCAAAAGATATATATAATGGCTTCTGAATACGGACAATACCTTTAGAAATCAAGGATAGAAATAAATGATCATCAGAAACGCCAACCTAATAAAACCCGAACGTCAGTGTACATCATTCTTAGTGGTGAAATTAGTAGTAGTCTTACAAACCGGTTTGATGTGGACCATTTCACCACACTTAAAGCACTTGGCATGACGAAGAACACATGAATTACGTGGGTGAAGTTAACTACAGGACAAGTATTTACCAAATCTGCGCTCATCTCTGTAACGTGATTTGCAGCTCCTCAATGAATTGTTATCCATGTTTTCACAAGGACGAGAATTATCGTTAATTAAACGTCTTGCGTAGGAATCGGATTAAGATAACTGTGTAATATAGTAGAATACTTGGTGTCTCGGTACTCGATTTAATGTACTGCTTCATAATTAATACATGTGGTTCTAGCATCTGGAAAGGAACACTTTGAAACTTGTTTAGGCTCTCCTTCCGTATTCAGTATGTTAACAAGTGTACTTATTCGATCACTCAGCTACACATGGAGTTGATCACCAAACCTGTATTTGGTGGCCTGTCTCTGCAATTCAGGGATAAATTCTCCAAATTTTTGGTTGTCATGGTGAATCATTTTAGGAAATTTTGCTCTTCAACGGCATTGGAAATCAGTAAACTTAACATAATTTAGTGTTAGTTGAATGAAAGTTGCGTAAAGAAGCGAAATAGGCTTATTTGGAAACGCCAAACCTTTTAGACATCTGTGGGCTTCCTTTTCCATAAATATGGGAAATGAGCCACAACTTCATCATCCTGATAATCTTTACTGGTCATGCTCCAGATTTCAAACCTTTCCATGGAATCTGTTGAAGCTTCGAAATTTGAATATGTATACAACTGTTTAATCACAGGTTCCACTGCAACGCAAATATGATAATCTTAAGTATTTAAATTATTGTACCAACTAGGGATTACCAAAATAGTGCAGTTTAAGGCATGAATGAAAGTATTGTATTCGGAATTCGTAATCAGTGGGTCTTGAAGTACAAAGAAATAATCAGTTCGTACAAATACCACATCTTTGTGTTAAAAAAAGGCAAGTAGTTTGCTTTTGACTAATTTGGAAACATTTGACATTTTCTATCTAAAAGTAGTCACAGTTTAGTGTGTTAATGTCAAAAGTCCACCTTTTCTTCCTAAAATTGCAAAAAATTTGTTATATTGACCAGTAAAATTATCTTGAAGTTATTATATTATTACATTAGCTGTTTATGAACACAAAATATTGAAATTTTTATTCCTAATTTTTGTCACATCACACAACCTAATCATTCTTGATTGACAGCTAAAGTTAACATTATGTTGTCAGCTGGAAAAAAGTAAACATGTTAATTTGTATATGGGTGAAGAGGAAAGAAAAAAGTTCAGCGAATCGATCGTATTGTATGGCTGATTTTGATCTTATTATGTTCAAACCATTAAAGTGTGAAGATCTCATGAATAACAGTTTTATGCACTGAATGATGACATTCTTGTTAGATGAACGGATACTTATAATGACTATATAGCCTGGGGATTGTGACCATAAGTCAATGATATTCTTTTCTGTAGAAAATGAAATAAGTTTACAAATTGATCATTTCGAATTAGTAAGATTGCTATTATGATGTACTAGTTAAGTAAGTATTGGTTCGCTACATTAAAAAACACAGCAAACTTGTCTAAGTGGAGAGATATTATATGAGGTCGAACTTAAAGGGTCATCCACAACTTTCGGGGACATTTTATCGCTTTACTCTGGCATCCATAGTATATTAAAGGTATTAAAACTAGCTTCCAGTATTATACACTTTTCTAACATCGCTGTTTCGTTTTTTGAAAAAGCCTATCACTCACAGTGATATCATTGTTCCATCACTGCTGCACTTTTAAAACTCACTGGCTCTCCTATGGAGCCAGGGTTTTCATGACTTAAAACTCTTAAATTCACTGGGTAAATATGTTATTGTTTGGTTGCAGAAGAGGGACCTTGGCAAAATTATATAGTAACAGCAGGATATTATTTTTCAGTTGGTTTTGGATACTAAATAATTTTGAAAATCTGTTTTAAGATATTTTGTTTTTTCAAGTCAAGGGTTTTAGTTACTCAGGTTATGTAAACTGTTACACCAATAGAAGTCTCCTTTATTAGCGCGTTGTTTGTCCATTGGCGTTTAAGGTGGTCGGATTATGCCGCACAAGCTACCCTTTCGTGTCGTGTATGTTTCAAGCCAAGAAGAACACTTCCCTGCCACAGAATTAAATCATCACCATCCAGGAACTAAAGGATGGGTTTCTACTCGCTTTTGTTCTTACCCTCAACAGCTTATTTTATCTTTGGAAGCCAAAGCTAGCTTTCGCAAAATACAGTTGCTTTGCCATCAATATCTAATTGGTTTGTTCGTAAAACTAACTTAATACTGTTATTTCAGCATCGAAGATTGAGTTTTTTGTTGGAGATACGCCGGATGATGAAATGGAACATTTTAAAAACGCCAGGTATACTAGACTTGGGTAAATCAATCTACAAATAGTTCGTATGTTTCCTATATTTTAGATATGTAGCGCTTTCAGACAATCAAGCAACAGAGTACAAAGCGAGGGAATTAAAGTCAGTTCATATTGACGCTTCTGGCTCATATATTCAACTGTTTCTCTATAAAAACCATCCGAATAACTTAAACTTATACAGTCAGGTACTTCAAAATGTCTGGATGTGTTATCTCCGTAGGTTGGGATTGTTGCTATAAACCTGATCGGAGATTTTATCGATAAGAATGGACAGTCGGATTCTGATGATTCCCCAGTAGGTCTTTTCAGGTATGTTATTCTGTTTTAAGTCAGTAGTAAAGGTCAGCATTTTAGCATACAATAAATATGTTGCTCTTAAAGTAATGTCATACCTTCTGTTTAATTATGCGTAAAATTTTTCACCTATATGTTGTTACATCGGTTTATGTTCTAGCAAACTTAATGTATTACTATACATAAAACATTCGATTCCTAATTAATACTCCCAAAAATATCTGTTTATCCTCTTTGACACAAAGACATTCAAATTTACTTAAACTAATCGGTAAATTATTGGGTGGATTCTTTTTAAAACTAAATTATTGATTTAGAGAATGTACCTTGACTGATTATACTGATTCATACGTTGTTGTTTTATGTGATTGTAGTTATTATCCTTTGTTTTTATCGTCTTATGCTGCAATTATACAAATATATAAAACTTCAACTTGTCTTGCACTTTACGCTTTTTTGCTGTGGTGTATGTTATTTGTCAAATGTAAACGAACTGGAAAGACTAGATAACTGAAAGCATAGAAATATGTCGTGTATTTCGGTATGATTTAATGTTGATATACAGTTACTACTGGACTACTTAATTTGGTAGTGATGGCTGAATCGTCTCTTAACCCTAATGAACCGATTAGCATGGGTCAATTGCGAGGAAAAAGTTCATCTCACATGTTTGAAATACTTAAATTTTTATGTCACGCTACAAACCATATGCATTGTTTAAACCAAAGGCGTTTAGTGGCTGATATTGTCATTTTCCAATAATTTAAAGACATGAGTTTAGTTGACCGGAGTTCTCTTTTTGTACACTACGTTAATAGCGTCTATATTCATAATTTCTTGTTGAGGTTAGGTTCGTCAGGATGTAGTTGATGGCCCTGTGATTTGTCTGTCTATTGATGGTTCAAAACCATATGAAACATTGAACAGTTCATGCAAATAAGTTAATTAAAATGATCTGTGATTTAGGATCACACTAAAGGCAACCTCATAGCTTTTTGTCTATAGTGGAAGTCGACTAAAAGATGGATAAAATCTTTCTAAATTGTTATATTTTAAAACACCATAGACCAGCTTCATCGCTCTGTTAACATTTTTAAATTTGATAGTTAACATGTTGGAGTAAGTTTCTTATGATTGTTGCTTCATGTGGTTCGATACTGCAAGCTCATATTCAATTCTGTTAAATAATGTGCATATTGTATGATACTTGAACAAACGTTCATCTTAAAACTACTCCACGTAATTACGCCTATGTATTCCTTCTGAATATTATAGCCCCTCTAGTAAAGTAATCTGTTCACACAATGATTTTGTTTTTAAATGATTGTGCATAAAAATCTCTACCATTAATGATAGCGAAATCAAAAAATGTTTTCATCAATATATAATAGCTTATGCGAATTTGCATTTTCAGCACCTTTTCAGGAAATAGTAACTGTATTCCAATGCCTGTTTGTATAATTTTTTCATTGTAATTCTTGCTAAATGTTGATAAATCAAAATGTACAGAAGTAAGTATTCCTCGATAAAAATTGATTCAAATCGGACGCCATTAACACAGACTTTATTGAATAAACTTTTATGTTACTGAGTTGTACTGAATATACATAATCGTTTATTCGCTTTAAAATGGTGTCAGTCAGTTATTATCAACGTGGGGCCTGACACAAGTGTTCCTTTGTTCAAGTTGTCACATCGCACCTCGGAAGAGTGAGTGGAAATCAACAAAACATGAAGCATAAAATTGTAATAAAATGTTGTGAAGTTCCGTGTGCTTGAAACTTACGTTCTTAGTGGTAAAATGAATCAAGACAAATTTATCGAACTTTCCTAGCGCATTTCTGGTCTAGATCATGCATATTACTTGACTGTAATATTACTAAAATGCTTCATTAGTTCTTCCCAATAACTTTGTAAGATGACTGCAATGGTAGGTTTGATAATTAAATTTGCAGAATGGACAAATAGTATACTGATAGCACATTCCGAATCGACAACTGCATCTCTGTGCTAATGTGGTATGGCAACTCGGACTGATGTACGTGCGTATGAAGTTCCACGTTGTTATTGATTGACTGACTGACTGATCAGGTCAAACTCCCATTCTATTTGGAAACTTTTATTTCCTGATATCTATTCGATTGAGCTCTTAGTCTGTAATCCGGTTTCATGAATAACCATCTGTCGACCACTTCGTATCATTATGTTCATTTGTCGACCAGAATTCTGTTTATTGGCTTTAATAATCCAGAACCTGACTATTCATCAAAACATAAAATCCCATTGCATTACAGTTGTATTAACCATTTAAGTCATCATTATCTTCATAATTTGTTTACACTTACAAATGCCTGATTGTGAAATAACACGCTCTATTAATCGATGATCAGTTGTTTTCAGACAACTTATCTGGGTTTAACCTTTAATTCTATATATTTTTCCAGAGGTTGTTCTTTACTTTTAAATTGACTTATAAATACTGTAGTGATTTTCCAATTTTCGATTTTGGAATTAACAAAGTTTCCCCTATTTTACTCATGTATTTTTATTTGTCCAGGCCAGATTACATACCTCCCACTGAAGACTTGGCGTTTGATATGTATCAAGATCCCGAAGTTGCTAACATAATAAGAAGGTTAGAAAAACAAAAACGTCTAGCTGTTAAGGGTATGTGCCGCATTTTTCATCAGATTTTTATTATGCTTGAATTCATGAGTCGATGTAAGCTAGATCACCATTGAGTTCTAGTGAGAAGCCGTGACTAGTGGAGTTCAATCTGTTTCGGGTAGAGATAGGTATATGCCTCAGACAATGGGTGAATCGTTGGGCAACCATTCATGGATAGATAGAAGTTAGACATTAACACCGTTAGATGCCAGTTCGGTAGTTTAGAGGTTAAGCATTCGCGTGCAAGACCGAAGGCCATGGGTTCGAATCCTGCGTGCGGAATCATGGATGCATGCTGCTGAGGAGTCCCGTACTAGGACGAAACGGCCATCCGGTGCTTCCAGGTTTTCAATCGTAGTCCACCTTACATCGACTCATGAGTTCAACTAATAAAATTGCTACGATCTCCACAAACCCCATTCTGACCAGATTTCTATTATCTAAGAATATGTTATGTAAAGACTGGTTAGATAACATATCGAAATTATAAAGAAATATTGAAATATAAGTCGTTAAATTTCACAGTAGGAAATCAATGACCGTTGATTAATATTTTGGTAATTATTATTAATTTCTAGCTATATTGTTTGACTGAGTTCATTTCTGTAGCTTTCAAAATATTTCTAATTTACATGAATTAAATAATACTAAGCTGTTTTTTAGCACATATATATTTATGTTTATTTTCGTTCAGATTCTGAAAAGCATTTAATGACCTTAGAGAAGATAGTTGGCTGTTTTAGAGTTCTCACTAGAAAACAGTCTATCTTAAGTGATTTGTTTTTACGATAATTCAGGTATATAAACGAAGATTATTCTTTTCAATAGCTTCTTATCATGTTCTACAGTCATTCATAAAAATTAATATTACAAAGGAATAGCTAAATTTAAAGAAAATACATTCGCTAAGAATTATAGTACCTTAATTTATGATTGTTGGTTGAAATAAAATAAAACTGTTAACGTTGAAAAAAATCAGAGTGTGATGTTAAGCTGATTGAAATTATGAGACTAATAATCAAGATAAATCAAGAACCGATATATAAATTTTAATCGGGAATCTTTACTTTATATACAGCTTGGCTATCCTTTTTGAAGATTAATCTGGATGTATATTTATAGAACCTAATGAGAAGTTATTGAAACGAATGTTTTTCGTCCCTATAACTGTGTTTATAATATATCTTGGGAGTTTTTAAACAATTATAATTTGCAGTATGGGGTTTTAGATATTTTTGAATTTCGCTGAAATCATGGACCGATAACCATCATTGAAAACCTGAAAGTGAGACCGAAAGTTCTGGGTTTCGAGCTTTAGGTGGGGCATCGTGGATGTGCACTGCTTAGAAGTCTCAAACTAGAACGAAACGGCCTCTCAGTACTTCCAGATTTTCAACGGTGGTCTAACATTGACTGGTTCTTGGTTTCAATGAAATTATAGTTTGACTATCCGAATTACATTTTATTATTCAAAGTAGCTGCTATTCGACTGGATAAACTATGCCATATTACCTGTGTAATAGATCAAAATTTGTTTATCAGGGTTACTTGAAAAGTGAATTTAGGTGTCAAGTTCTGTACTGCAGTGAATCATAGTGATCTCTACTGAGAACTAACAGGCCAATGTGAAAGAAATTTGATAAATCATCTAGAAGAATAAATCCACTCAACATGTTCTACATCTTCCAGAATAGATCTAATTGTAGAGGAAATAAAACCAATTTTATTAAAATAAGACTCGGTTAATAATCAGCTCTTTGAAGTTTTTTGTTTCATAAGTATCACGTGTTTGTCCAGATGAAGGAAAGAAAGACTAACTATATATTTTATTGAGCTTTTATCTCAGTTATTGTGAGTTAGGGTTGAAGTAATCATAAATTGATATAAATAATTTCAAAACAACAAACTTTATTCAAAACCCCCTGGAATTTCTACAGTTTCACTTTGTCTTGTTACAATTTATCAATATTTTTTGAATTCGGCAACAGCACCAAAGTTACGCATACATGATGATATGAAAAGCTGGAAAATAAATCATGTAGTTGGTTATTGTTATGTTGTATCTATTTGTTTGGATAATTCTTCATATATCGTCCGCTAAATATTCAAGCTGCTAATCGACGTAATCCACTACATTGAATCAATGTAAACATTAAAAAAATCGGTTTAGTTTTTCATAAATTGTTTATGTTTCTTCTATTTTTTCCAATTAATTTTTAGCTGAACGCTTTGACCAAGCTCAAGGTATACGAGATGCTATAACTCAACTACATCAGGTATGTGTAATTTTTAACATGAGTTTATATATTAACATAGCTATTGTTGAACAAATTTTTAACTTAGTGAATTTAAATAAAAGGCTTCTGTCTTGTTAATTGCTAGCTACTTAATAGTTGATATTTTAAACTGAGCATATAATTTTATAGAAGATAAGGAAAGGTTCAGACATAAATTGTCTGCTTGGTAAATGAATTAGTTTCATATTTTACTTTTGTTTCATTATCTTTCAGGTCGGTGAACGTCTCGGTAGATTAGCACTTGAAAAACAACAAGCTGTTGAAGAAGAAAACTATGAACAAGCTAAGTTAAAAAAAAATCAAATAACTGAAATGCGTACTAACTTGTATCGAGATATTGATTTAATGAAATTGTTGTCTAGTAATACTTCAACAGAACAAAGTGAAAAACTTTATGGTCGACCGGATAACCAGTTTCCTGATACGGTAAGAAAACTGAACTGAAGATTACATAATTCTAGTTGTGTAAATTTATTCATTTACTATTATTATTATTGTTATTAGTATGGGGTTGTGGAGCTTGTTGAACGTTATTGAGATCACACTTAGGTAGTTCTGAAAACGAGGCTGACCTAGATGTTGCTTGGAAAGTTATACAAGCAGCTGTGGAAACAGCAGTGACATCTACTAGTGATTTAAACCATAGGGTTACAAAGAACCAATGGATTTCTTCAAGGTCTATTGCACTGATAGATTCTCGCAAACTCATCCCATCAGGTTCTGAATACGATGAAGAGCGTAAAAAAAAATCAGATCTAGGTTAAGCAAAAGTCAAAGGAATGATCGTGAGCAGTGGTGGGCAACGAAAGCAAAAGAGATGGAAAAGGCGGCGGCTATAGGGAACACAAGACAACTCTACAGACAAATAAAAGAAACTGGAATTAATAAACCAAGTGTAAGTCAGACCATTTCGGAAAAAAACGACACTCTCACCTGCTCCTAGTCCAGACGCTTAGAATAATGGGCGGAACACTTTAAGGAGCAGTTTAGCTGGCCTTCAGCTACTCTACAATTACCCTCTATTCCCAGACAGTGTGAATGGAACATTGAAGTAGGTTCCCCATATCTAGCTGAAGTTCAAAAGGCTATAGTTAACCTGAAACGAGGAAGGGCAGCTGGTCCAGACGGATTGGCCCCAGAGGTCTTTAAGGATGGTGGTCTAGTTTTAGCGATTAGGTTGACTAATATTTTAGCTAAAATCTGGGAGTTAGACGTTATCCCATCTAACTGGTCACAATCACTTATCGTCCCAATATTTAAGAAAGGGTCAAAATCATCCTGTGACAACCATAGAGGGATTAGTTTGACTAATATAGTATCTAAAATACTAGCCTCGATAATTATCGGACGCCTAACTAAGACTCGTGAACTGCAAACACGTGAAAATCAGGCTGGCTTCAGACCTGGTCGTGGCTGCATCGACCACATATTCACCATTTGTCAGGTTCTAGAACACAGGCATACTTATCGGCGTCCGACAACGGTGGTCTTCCTTGACTTAAAAGCAGCGTTTGACTCTGTTGACCGAGAGGTTCTGTGGCAGTGTTTGTCATTGAAAGGCGTACCTCAGAAGTAAATAAACCTTGTGAAGGCTCTTTACTCAAACACTACCAGTTGAGTCAGAGCCTATAGAGAACTGTCATCTGATTTTGCAACCTCAAATGGTGTCCGACAAGGCTGTCCACTATCTCCATTTTTGTGTAACTTCATCATAGACCTACTGCTGGAAATAACGTTCTCTTTGACTGAATTTTCAGGCATTGATCCCCTATCCAGGAGGTCCACTTATCGACTTGGAAACGCAGACGACATAGTCCTGTTTGGTGAAGGCGCTGATAAAATACAGAGTCTTTTGTTGCACTAAGCAACAATGCCAGAATGTTTGGGATGCGCTTCTCTCCCTCTAAATGCAAGTTGTTGCCTCAGGACTGGTCTTCGTCAACACCTGAACTAACGATAGGGAGTGAAGTAGTCGAACGCGTTGACAACTTCACTTATCTTGGAAGTCTGATCAGCCCTAATGGGTTGGTGTCTGACGAGATCTCAGCACGGATTCGAAAAGCTCGTTTGGCCTTTGCCAACTTACGTCATCTATGGTGAAGGCGAGATATCTGTCTGTCAGTTAAGGGACGAGTATACTGCGCAGTAGTTCGTTCCGTTCTAATATACGACTGTAAAACATGGCCATTAAGAGTAGAAGATACTCGTAAGCTACTAGTATTTGACCACAGATGCCTTAGAAATATTGCTGGTATCTGCTGAGATCACCGGGTAAGTAATAGTGAGGTTAGAGGCAGGGTATTAGGGAATGATGGTAAGTCAGTTGATGAGGTTGTGAATCTTCATCGACTGAGATGGTTGGGCCACGTGTTGCGTATGCCTGAACACCGACTACCACGGCGCGCAATGCTAACCGGTGTTAGGGATGATTGGAAGAAAGTTAGGGGCGGCCAAACCAAAACGTGGCATCAGTGCTTGAAGTCACTAACTTCTGGTCTGAGCCATGTTGGGAGATTCAGACTGCCTGGTTGGGGTCCGCGTGACTATAGTAACCAATGGTTGGAGACTCTTGGTGACATGGCTCAGAATCGATCACAATGGCGTCGGTGTATACACTCTCTGTCTTCCTTTAATCTAAGAGATTAAAATCACTTCACATCTTTCTTTCTAGGAACTAATTCTTTCTTCCTGTACTATCTCCTTATACACACTCTTTCTTCTATATATTACCACCACTGAATTAACTACTTTTATGAATCCGGTATTGATCTTGTTGTGCTAATGCGGTATGGCAAATTGGACCGATACATATACGTGCCTGGTCCTACGTCGCAGCTGACTGACTGACTGAAGTTAGAAAATCTTTGAAAACCCGGAAGGACTGGACAGTCGTTTCTCTCTATTACGGCATTTCTCAGCGGTTTACCTCCACGGCTCCTGACTGGGAATCGAACCCGAAATCTTGGTTTCTATATTTTTACTAACTCAATATATTCTTGTTAGATTTCCCTCCTTTCCATGTATTTTAACTAAAAATGGCAGAACCTAAAATGACAAAGCGGTTACAAGCACGCCAGGATTTCTATCCATGATTCCATTCAATTATACTAACGAAATGTCAGAATAAAGCTTGCGATAGCTAATAATGAGTGTGTAACTAGGATATTTTAATGAATAAAATTCAATAATAGACTTATAGTTGTCTCGCAATAATAAATCAAAATAAGTTCTGCAATTAGAATTACACAAAAATACTGTCAGAAGATCATCTGTTCGTTACTCCTCAAAAACTATACACACTAATTCTCCAAAAGAATGAATATCCATATTTTATTCATATTTCCGATAGTGACTAGGATTTGGGTGTGCAGTATGTGTTTTATCGCGTTTTCAAACTCTTCAAAAGTATGCATCCAGCTAATCAGTATTTTTGCGTTCTGGATTGCTATGTTATTTGCTAAAGCAACCCATCATATAGAACCAGGAAATGACCAAATCCAGTTATCAAAATAAATAGGGAGATGTAAACCCTAGCAAATAATAATAATGACTCTCCATGTTATATATATATATATATATATATATATATATATATATATATATATATATATATATATATATTCCTTCCCTCATCTCTTCTCAGTAGTTGTAAGTTCTTGTATGCGCTTGTTTTTTTACTTCAGAATAATGACCGGAACAAAAGTAAGTGTTGATGTTTATAAAAGTATTTGTGTTTATGTGTATGTGTATGTATGTGCACAATTTTGACTCAAATTTTAGCTCGTCCAGTCGTATCAAAGTTGTTCATTCTATTGCGTGCTACTCCTCAGATGTGGAGGTCTTCATAGTCCAGACAAACACGAGAAGAAATAGAAGGGGTGACAGTGGGCAGCCTTGTCTGACACCAGTCCTCACTTGGAATACATCCGGCAGCTGTCCTTCATGCACGACTTTTCAGTGTAGTCAGTCGTATGAATTCCATATGACATTGACGATCTTCTCAGGTACACTGTAGTGTTGAAGGAGGTTCCATAATGTCCTCCTATCTGCATTGTCAAACGTTTTCCCACAGACAAGGAAGTTAATATACAATGACGAATTCCATTCAATTGATTGTTCAACGATTATCTGCAGTGTCGCTAACTGGTGTTTACACGACCGATCCTTACGGAATCCAGCCTGCTGATCTCGACGTTTGGCGTCTACTAAATCTTTCATCCGGTTCAGCAACACACTGTTGAAAACGTTTATCGGTGCTGATAGTAGAGTGATGCCTGTGTAGTTCTCACATTTACTTAGATCTCCTTTCTTTGGTATCTTGATGAGATATCTTTCTTTCCATTCTGTTCGCGGCACTTGTTCCTCCTCACGAATCTTCCTGAATAGAATGTGGAGCATGATAGCAGCTACTTCTATGTCTGATTTCAGTGCTTCAGTTGATTTATTGTCAGGTCCTGATGCTTTCACACCCTTGATTAGTTTGATGGCCATCCTGATTTCTGCGATCGTTGGTGGAGTGACAGTTATAAGAAGATCTGCAGGTGCTACTTCGATGTTTGTTGGATTCAATGGAGTTGATCTATTCAAAAGTTCTTCAAAATGTTCGACCTCTCTGTTCCACTGTCTTTGAATCTCGGTGATTGGCTTGCCTTCTTTGTCTTTCTTGTTTAATAGGAAGGTTGAAATACTTACAAATAAATGATTACGTTCTTGTCTGGACTCAGTAGGTTGGTAGATAATGAGTTAGACGATGAAAGAGAAAGGTAATGTATTCGAGTGTCAATGTGAAAATCAACTCAAGGATACAGGTAAGTCTAATTGACAAGTCCGGAATAGGGTGAAATGCACTTCTAAACAGATGTCAATTGCTCTTAAATGATGCCTCGAATGAGATCAATCTGCGACGAATAAAACTAATAGATTAAAGCAATCTTCAGAAAAGCCTCGTAACTAATATAGAACATGAGTTAACTAATGGAATATAAGTGCCAAAAACAGAAGAGAGTAAATTGACTAATTTGCTTACAAGTATATGAATTTCTCGTGAATTTTCAGCATTTTTATTTGGTGATCATCGTAGTTGAATTTATGTTTTCTTTTATTAGTCAATGTTTATCGAAGTTATCTTTCGGATCTTGTATACTGTCTGACTTATTCCCATCATATATTTGATATTGTGATCGCTGAAAATGATAAGACTTTATTATTCTATACTCATACACTGTACTGAAAGTGTAAATTCAAATGTAATAAAACAATATATGATACTACCAAAAAATACAAATTTGTTCTTCATAAAATACGAATTTGTTTTATTTATCTGAAGTCAACCTTACTGTTCGTAAATGAAGAAATTCTTTAAAACGTTGTGATGTAACGACAACAATTTATCATACATGGTAACGAAGCAGCAAAGTAAACAGCATGAGGACGTTAATATTGCTATCATTATTATCATCATTATTATACTCAAAGAAGGATGGTAACTAGCAGTGGGATTCAGGACACGCGTTTTGTTCTATTTGAGATTTGTCAGCCGAATGCACATGCATCCCGGAGTCCATGTCCGCTCCGGGATTCAAGTCCAATACCGTTTGCTGGTACGTTCAGCTGACGAATCCCGAATAGGATGAATCGCGTATCCCGAATTCTACTGCTAGCCATCATCCATCTCTACTTATAATGCACATATGCCGAGAAAAAACTGATTACTTGCAGACCTAAACGTCAATGAGAAGATTCAAACAACCTATACAATATGCATTATTATTATTATCGTTGCCATTAAGAAACTGAAAATGTAGTTGTTGAGACTTTGACTATTAATTAGGAACGTCATAGAAATCAGATAAAAATTAACAATCGTGAAAATTAATTCCGTAATATATTTCGATACATTTCGGAAATGAAGCTCAGTATTACCAGTAAGGGGATGCAAACAGAATAAGTAGATTGGAGGTAAGAGTTTAATAAAGTAAAAGAGAAAGTGTGGTGTGAGAAAATTTGAATTTAAGACCTTAGTAAGAGAAGGGGGTAAATAACTTTAGTAAAAATTATTCTAGCTTCCCTAAATCTATGCTGAAATACGTAGAAAAGCAAACGAAACGAAACGGCTGTGAATAAAATCTCACGAAAAGTAGTACACTTCTCTACTTTGTATTACTAAAGCTTTCATCATGCGTATAGGAAAGCCAGCACTATGTATACTAACGGAAATTACTCAACCTGTTCTCCTATTGTGGTCTTGATTTCCACTCTTCCTCATCGATCATTACCTGTTTCCTAGACTATGAATCTCTTAATGCGAATAATTCTATCCTCTTTATAATGACTGGCGAAACTATTAACACAATAAATGAAATATATGCCAATCATACTCCTAATTGCTGTCAAATGTCATATAACAGACTTATTCTTTTCATTGACCAATTTATAAGCTATTTGTGCAAGTTTACAAGTACATTGTTTTTACTAATTCAAATGTCAATCATATTTCGTGCTAATAAATTTTTTCTTACTTAAAGATGCATAACTATATGTGCTATTTACCGATAAAGTCTATCAAATAGGATAAGAACAAATAGGATTTTATTATTAAATAGAAGTCTAATTTATTATTATGCTTCTTTATAAGACATACCAAACATTAAAAAAGTTTATAAATCAAGAAATTATAGTAGATATTTATTATATAGGAACAGCTAGTTAATAGAGTTATTAATTTTCAAAGTCCCCTAGAATAAATATATTCACAAATTGTTTCATATTTCTCGTTTCTTTTACCAGTAAATCCAATACAACCAATACATTTTCAAAATTTATTAATAAGTGATGATCCAAACGAAAATAGGCGTAGTAATGGGTCATATATTGTTAATAACAACAATAGCAATAATAATAATCAAGATGTTGATTACTTTCCATTTCGTCGTGCTTATCCTTCAAATGATCCTGATGAACGTCCTTTACCAGCTCTTAAAAATAAGCATAGAAATAATAGTCCAATAGTCGATCCAGCTGATGAAGAGCATTATACATCGGAATTACCAGTCCCAGTGCTTCATGAACAATCTTTTGAGAATTACAATCATTCTGAACATATACCACCACTTGATGCAGTTGAAGCTATTCAAAGAGACATTGATACTTATGAAGATGAACAAACGATGAAATACTTAGAACAAGCAGCTCATGATCGCATGGTCGATGGTAGAGAAAATTTTCAGCATAGTATACTTGATCTTCCTGAGCCAATGAGCGAAACCAATCGACGTCAGGCTGGTGTAGCTATTGATGTTGTAGGCATTAACCTTGTAAGAATTATTTATAATTTATTAATAATATTGTTTTTTAAACAATCTCGAATATATATTTCGTACAGTTAACTGTATATATATTTTTTAAAAAGTACATTAAGATAACAGTCTAAATTGCATGTTTCAAATGATTTATTTAATTGTTTTATTTACTAGTCTCTTGAATTCTATTTGAGTATAATCAGAAAAATAAAAAGAGGCTAATAATATTTGTATGCTCATATGGTAGGTTATGTTTTATTTTAACGATCATTTTCATTTTGTCATGAAATTAGCATAAGAGGGTGGATTGTAGGATCAGAGTAATTCTTTATTTTATCATAGGATCACTGAAAATTAATCAATATTTATGTTTATTACATCAAAGTAAATAGAAATAAGTTAATAGTACATTCTTATATATATATATATATATATATTCTACTCCGGCATCTTTCTGTGGTGATATAATGTAGCAATTTGAACCGATGTACATATGTGTCAGGTTCTATGTTGCTTATGTCCAATTTACTGAGATTGATATTATCTGCATACACTATCATTATGACACTATTTCTTACTCCTAAAATTCTGAATTTTTAGATGATAATTAGAGAATCGATTTTATTTTAAACTTTTAAAACTATTCTACATATAATCCTGTAACTAATGGAGAATGATATTATTATATGCTGAAATCTTTGTGTTCGTTAGTGACACTGAGAGAAATGAGTAGTCGTTTTTCATTTTATTTATATGAAACAAAAGTCTGACGATACAATCTGTTTATTACATGCTTTTCAACTTGAAAACAATATAATACTGTTATATTTTCTCTTAGATTAATTGATTTCCAAATTTCATACTTAGCTGTATCCTTTCTCTTGAATATTGACTTTAAAATATCATTGTACATTTCTGTCAGTGAGAATAGTTTATGTTATTCTGTTATAGTTGACATTTTGAAAGTTAAATGAATCAGTTGATTTATGTATTGATAAGTGTTGATATGTAATACTCTATAAAATGAAGGTTTTCGTTATTTTTACAAATTACTTATCTTCTTTCATGTTTTTCTTTTCTTTCAAAATGAATAATTTCATTTGTTCAACCGAAAAAATTTGTTGTTAAATAGTACATTTTATGTGATAATGTTTTATTGTATTGTGGTGATATATGAAGTTTCTGTCATAAAGTTCTGTGAAAAGATTTTTCTAGATACATATTATGAACTCAGACAATTGGTTAGTGTTTAACTGATAAATTATTTTATTATATATATCACACTTGATGGCGAAACTCTTGAAGATGTAGAATTCTTCACGTACGTGGGAAGCATGATCGATGAACAAGGAGGTTCAGATGCAGGCATAAAGGCGAGGATTGGCAAAGCAAGGGCCGCACACCTAGAGTTCAAGAACATATGGAACTCAAAACAACTTTCAACCAATATCAAAGTCAGATTCTTCAGTACGAACAGCAAGACAGTTCTACTGTACGGAGCTGAAAATTGGAGAACTACCACAACCATCATCAAGAAGGTACAAGTAATTATAAATAGATGTCTACGCCAGATACTCAACATCCATTGGCCGGATATCATCAGTAACAGCCTACTGTGAGAGAGAACAAACCAGCTTCCATCTGAAGAGGAAATTAAGAAAAGACGATTGAAATGGTTAGGACATACATTACGGAAATCATCAAACTACATCACAAGGCATGCCCTAACTTGGGATCCTCAAGGGAAGCAGAAAAGAGGAAGGTCGAAAAACACATCACGTCGAGAAATAGAATCACATATGAAAAGGATGAATAAGAACTGGAAAGAGCTGGAAATGATTTCCCAGGACAGGGTTGGATGGAATATGTTGGTGAGCGGCCTATGCTCCTTCACAAGGAGTAACAGGCGTAAGTTGAAGTTGATATATATATATATATATATATATATATATATATATATATATATATATATATATATATATATATATATATATATATATATAAAATCCTATTTATTTAAGGTGACTGCATAATACAAAGTTGTTCTGAATACATTTAAATTGTTTCTTTACAGGTTACAAAAGCATATAGCAAATCGTGGGTTTTTCGTGAAAAAGCTCTACTTGAATTAGAACAACGTGTAACTGCACCGAAACTTCCTCCTCCTGTATCACTTCCTGATACAGCACATCCTGATCCAAAAGCAGAAATTCGATCGACTACATTTCTTTTACGTCGTGCATTAAATGATCAAGTAGGAATAAAACTTTTTTCACTAAAATTCTTTAAATATGATTGTGTTTAGATATTAATGCACCTCCAAACATATGAATATTTTTAATACATTCATTTATACATATATCCAAACAGTCAATTACGTATGATACATTTTTTCTCATATTCCTTCTTTTCCTCTCTCCAGGTTTTGTCAATATTTCGTTTAGCCACAAAATTCCTCAAACCAACAATTGTTAATTTTGCCGATAGATATGGTATTCCACGACCTGATTTATATTATTGCATGGATAAATTAACTCCAGTAATTTTTCAACGAACTAGTGATACTTCATCACGTGTTAGAGAGATAGCTAAACAACAGATTTTAGATATGGCACAATGGCCACAGGTTTTTCAGTCTATATTATTATTATTATTATTACTATTATTATTATTATTATTATTATTATTATTATTATTAATTTCTTATCAAAGAGATTATTTTATAAGAGTTTTAGTTTCATATGCAGTAAAATGTTTCATAGTACTTAGTGTCATTATCAAATGGACAATATATAGTTATGATAGAAATTATCTGACTTAGTCATATATAAAAATTTTAAAATGTTATTACTTATTAAGAAACTGTTTACCAAAATATTTGAGCTTAGCTTTCATTACGAAGTGATATCGACGAAAATAGTCATTGAAAACCCAGCGAACAGTGTACACACTATTATCCCTCTAGGGATCCAACGTTGAAACTTTTCGGTTTCATAATATGATAATTTCAGTTTATTGAATTGTTATACAACGATCCACATTTTCAAATTCAATCAACTTACATTATAGTATGTTGACCATCCGACGCCATTGAAGATAATGATCGTAATCCTAACATGATTAACGTTCATTTGTCAAACCATATAACTAGAAATACAGGAAGTCATTTCGAAGTTGGTGGCTAATAAGAAAATTATTAATTGTGAAGCAAATGAGATAACTGTGGAATACTTGCTTTGACTCGGCAGATATCAATTGGTAATGTAAACTAATTTCAAATTAAACAATCTTCCCAAACCTTTTTTAATAAGCAAAAATGTTAAATGTTTGATTACTTATAGATGATAATAATTTATTTATTTATTGACAAAATTGTGGAGTTTTTATCTTGCGGAGACATTAATTTCAACTGAGTATTTTATTTCTATCATTGTAGATGAAGCAAAATACAACATTTTGGAATGAATTAGTTCGACCCTTTTCTCCCGTAACATTAGATCGTTTAGCTTTAAGTCGAATTGAGCTAGCAACAGAATTATACGCCAGTCGTGGTGTAGATCCTGCTTTTTGTAATGAACATGGACATGTCAATCAGGGAAGTTTTACTTTAGAGGCACTAACTATATTCACTGCAAAATGCTTAGACCATCGATCAAACGAAGTGAGTTTCTGCTAAACATTTATTGTATTGCCGGTTAAATTTTATTGTATTCTATTTTAGAAAAGATTGTATACTATCAAAAACATTGGGTTGCTGTAAACCTAGTGTTTACATTTTTTCAATTTTTCTTTTTCCTGTATTTGCATATTTTTATGCTATTAGAAGCAATGTAGCTTAATTTTTCACAAGCCTTGTTGCTTTATGCTTACCATTGAATAACAGTAAGCATAAGAACGATTCACTTTATCCTTATCAGTAAATCTTAACAAAAAGAAACATTTGAAAAAGATGTTTTTGATGGCCAAAGTATCTTACTTTTAATTTATAATCTTTTTTAAAGGTTCGTGAAGCTGCTGAAAATCTTATAGTTGCTCTTTATCGTTCTGAAGATCGAGCTACTGTTCGTAGACTTACACCTTTAGATGATGTGAATTCCAATCGACATCCTTTATATAGAAGATTACTTGGAAAATTCGATCGGATCGACGGAAGATATGATCCACCATTGAATGATCGACCACCTGGGATTAAAGCTTCAGTCAAACAAAAAGAAGTTGAAGCACTTCAGGTATCAACATTTTGAAAAAAACTAATTTCTTCATATTTACGGTGTTCATGATAATTGTCCTTTCATGTTTATCATAGCTTTCTGAATCCGGCTGTATATGTATTCACGGACGGAAGGCATTTGAGTTATATTTAAGATCTTTATTTAAATTTAAGTATACTTTTCTGCAAGTTATTCTCTCAGATATACCCGAAGATACATCAAATCTGAATTATCACGTCGTGCTCGATGATCGAATATTCATTGTGTCTTTACATGATGGTGTGTATCAATTTGATAAAACTTATTTCTCTGTGAATGGAGCATGTTTTGGGCTTCTTTGTTTTTCAATAACTCGAAGAATAACATCTCATACTAACTCTCCATCAGGAACCCAATGTGAACTCCATACATTATCGCGATTATTTTAAGTATACAGTGTTCCTACTTGTAATTTTTAAGTAGTTTAATCTCTTATACATAATTGTTCAAGCAATGCTTTTGTGTTTATGCACAGTTTAACGCATTGAGGATGGACCACATATTTTAGCACAGTATGAAGAAGATTTTTAAAATGAGACCTTCATTAATTTGTCTCAAAAAGGCTGTGTGAAGGTGGTGCAAATATAGTAATTGAATCTTACGCTTGTTGGCAGAACATGCTGACGAAGACACTTGTGGAGAATATACAATTGTTCTTGAGTGGAAGCCTGCCTTTTGGCGAAATTCTCCCATTTTTGAACAACGTGAAGCGTATTACATTCATATGATTTTGAGAATTGAATACAGATATACAAATAAAAGACGATGAAATAAATTAGATAAACTTTTAGTAGACTCTGAGAAAACTTATACGCAGTCTGTTTTTCACAATGGCGCTTTCTTATAGTGTTGCGATATTCTCCCAGTTTAACTAACTTTAACAAAGGGATGTGTTTTGAAATTTCTTCTTTTACCAGAAATTTCTATTACATCAGACTTCTTGTGGGGTTTTTATAATTAACTATATTGCATTGTTTGGCTTTAGGCAGACGTTCAACAACTCCGTGCTATAGTCGAACATGGCAATCGTGGTCATTTGACTACCCATAAGCCTAATTCACGTGTATCACGTACTGTACCTTCACAAAATTATGATAGAAAATCTGCTTCAAGGTTAAAAAATAATGATCGTAAATCTGCAAATAACTCACAACCTGGGCCTCCATCTGTATCACCGAATCGTCAGAATCATACATCTAATCAACATGGTTCACGAATTGCAAAAAATGACAATCAAAACAGAAATTCTTCGACTGCTAACATTCAATTGGAAATAAATTCACAACAACATACTGAAGAAGCAGAATTTTTACTTAGTTTAGATAAGACATGTATATTTTGTGGAGAACAAAATGATTCGTTTACAGAGGAAGGATTAGATATACATTATTGGAAAAGTTGTCCAATGCTTCATCGTTGTCCTAATTGTAAACAGGCATGTTTTTTACACTTGTTTTGTTTTATATATTGCATGTTTATAGAAGTCTTTTACTCAAGTAATCTGAGTATTGGTACTCTAATTCATTAACCAAAATAGCGTTTTTAGACATAATTGTAATTTTAACTTTAGACTAAGTAATTAGATGGTGTAGCGATAAAATCCTTCCTTGGACTACTTATATCTTTAGAAGATATTAGTTTATTTCATGTTAACCAGCCTCTAAGGAATGTGATGAATGCTGCTCTTCGTGTTCTCTCTTTCGAAATGAGCTCATGAAAACTGTATACCCTATCTGAGCAAAATTTAATGAAATGATATATTGAGTTCGATTACATAATATCTCACCACTTCAGGTCAATTGGTATCTTTTGGATAATCATTCAAAACTTTGATGCAAAATCCGGCATACGAAATCGAAGCCATTATTATTATTATTCATTACACAGAAATGTGTTCAAAATCTATCTTGTCACTAGTTTTAAACTTTTTCTTTTAAAAAATCTGTTTGCCATCAAATGATTTCATATCGTCTTATACTAAATGAGCTCACTTTTATTATTTGATGATGTTTGATTTGTAGCCAACGACTATTTGGAAATTTTTTCATTTCTGCTATTGAGAATGAACCTGGGAGACATGGGATCAGATCCACCAGGGAGCATATGTCTCCTCAAAATTTCAGATACAACTTATAAGTGCCAAGAAGCAGAAAACCTAGGTTTATGATTTCCTGTCGATTACCTCAAACCATCTGATATTTCAACATATCGCACGCAATGTCGAGTCATTTAAACTAGTAGCCATATTGCAAATTGGATCATAGAATCCGATCGTCACTAAAAAACCGGAAAAATATAGTGCTAGTCACTACTTGGTGATCAGTCAGTCTCAGATTTTGTGAATTCCTATTTTAATAAACTAATAAGTAATAAGCTCGTCAGATCAGATCAACTTCATGATTGTGGACAAACGAAATGCTCACTTCCACTTGAAGTAAGCACTGATGATGTTGCCCTTAGCAATTAAAGCTCCGCAATTAAACCATCCATCCAGAGAAATAAATATTACCAATCACCAATTAGTAAAAAAAATAAAAAAATGACATTCTACTCACACAAGCTTGATCCACCTTGTTATAATATCTAATTAAATCGATGAAACTATTAGAAGAGACAGGATGATTAAAGTGATAAACTCCCAAATGAATGAAACTTCTCTTGTCAGAAGACAAAAATTCTGTTTAACTGATAGTCTATAGATTAAGAAATTAGATTTTTTACGAATTTCTCGCCATTTTCGTTCCTTTCTTCCAGTCCATGTCGTCCTATGATATTTTCATACCCGGTTTTGTTCATTCCGACCTCGGTGTTTAGGCCTTTCATCAGGACGGTCAGGTCGTTTCCTGATCATTTCACTATGATCTGTCACAGCCTCTCGTAAAACTGATCTTCATTGTCGTCATCGCTATGATTGGTGGGTACAAAACAATGGATAACATTTCTTATGATCCCCTCCTTCATTGTTTTGAAGAATGCTTTGATGATCCTGGGTTCATGAGATTTATGTGCTTCTTTGGACAGCATCAGAGCAACTCCCTGTGTGTGTGGAGCATTTTCTTCTTTGTGACCAGAGCACAGCAGCATAACTCCTGAATCTATCCTTTACTGTCCAGCTTGGGTCCATTGCGGCCGGCCCAGTGGTCTAATGGTTAAGTGTTCGCGAGCGAGACTGATAGGGCCTGGATTAGAATCTCACGAGGAGCGGTATCGTGAATGCGTTGTGCTGAGGAGTCCTATACTAGGACAGAACGGCCGTCCAGTGTTTCCAGGTTTCTTACTCTCTCCATTCTTGTTTAACTTTGCTATCGACGTCCTTTTAGAAATGACACTTTCCTCACCTAAATTTCCATGGGTTGAACTTCTACCGGGAGATTCCCTTGTTGACTCAGAATATGTCGATGACATAGTTCTATTTGGTGAAGACGCTGACAAACTACAGAGTCTGCTGACCACTCTAAGCAAAAATGCAGGCATGTTTTGCATGCGATTTTCTCCCTCGAAATGCAAAATGTTGCTTCAGGATTGGGTTTCACCGCCACCCGAACTAGTGATAGGGAGTGAAGTAGTTGAGCACGTCGACCGCTTCACTTATCTTGGAAGTCTCATCAGCCCTTGTGGTCTGGTGTGTGACGAAATCTCAGTACGGATACAGAAGGCTCGACTAGCTTTTGCCAACTTGCGTCATTTGTGGCGTAGGCGAGATATCCGTCTATCAATCGAAGGACGTGTTTACTGCGCAGCAGTTCGTTCCGTCCTACTTTATGGCAGTGAAACATGGCCAGTAAGAGTAGAGGATAATCGTAGGTCACTAGTATTCGACCATAGATGTCTTCGAAACATTGCTCGTATATCCTGGGACAACTGAGTAAGCAACTCAGTTGTTAGGAAACAGGTACTAGGTAAGGATGGTGAATCAATTGATGAAGTAGTAAAACTTAATCAGTTGAGATGGCTGGGACATGTGTTACGTATGCCCAACCACCGACTGCCCCGACATGCGATGTTCAATGGTATAGGAAGAAAGCTAGGGGCTGCCAGACCAAAACATGGGACAAATCCATGAAGTCACTGACACGGACTGAGCCATGTTGGTAGGTGTAGACTACCTGGTTGGGGACCGCGAGATGATAGCAACCTATGGTAAGGTACCCTGAATGATATGGCTCAAAATCGTTTGCAATGGCGCAGGTGCATCCACTCTTTGTGTTCTCCCAAATTCTAATCTTCTGTATTCTTCATGTCCCTTCTTTTTTCCTCTTTCCAAATTTATTTCACTGTATTATACTCCTTGAATAACATCTTCAAACCTTGATCTTTCCTATTACTGCCTATGCTTTTACCACCTCCACCACTACGGGATTTGAATCGACAACTACATCTCTGTGCTAATTTGGTGTGGCAACTCGAACTGATGTACGTACGTAAGAAGTTCCACGTTGTTACTAACTGACTGACTTGGGTCTAATGTGTTTCACTTATTCTGAGCACCTCCAAGTTGTATCTTCTTATTCCCATACCTGTTTGATTGGTCCTTCCGGTTTCTCACATTGTTCGAACATTCCATGTACCCATGTTAACTGTTGTTGTCGTCGTTAGAAGGGGCATAGGCCTCATGACTTCCTTAGAATCTCGGTGTCTACCGTGTGATGTCATAATTCTTCTGAATGGAGATTCTTCAACTCTGAGGGCACAGTTTAGATGGTTCAAATTGTTTATTCTGGTTAGCTTCTTTTTAGTCATGTTGTTTTCTACGAGATCGGGTTGCTATCCCTATACCCAACCCTCCTCTTTTACCCTGACTTGGGACTTGGAGTAACCCCAGAAGAGCTACAGGTGGAGCTATTATGAAATTAAAACTTATAATTATATACAGAAAACGCTTAACCATAATAGTATCATTTCTCAGATAATTGGTGAGAAAATGGAATCTACAAAGTAATCAGTGAAGCTGCACTTCTACTCACTGTATCCCATATAAGGTAGACAAGTTATTGACTTACTGACATAATTTTAGAAGTGAAGAAATACTAGTTTTTCTTCTATAACATAACAAATATCAGTTGACTTATGTATTGTATTTTCCGCTGATGCGATATACAGACCGTTCTAAGTTTGCTTAGGCGGTAGCAACAATAAACCGCTACCCAATGACCAATCGGTTATGTAAGTAGGCTATTTGGTATAGCAATACGAATTACTTATGTTGTCACTAAATTTATTATTTAGATCATCCTATGCTATTAATATTTTAATGTTGTCTAAATATATCATACGTGCGAACCGAAATAGGTTTTCAGGTTTGGAAACAAGAATATTTCAAATTTAAGCTACCAATTAAATATATTTACCTAGTTAGCTCATCATGTGTACCAGTAATATCAACCCGTTCAATTTGTTAAATATTTATAGGTAGTTGAAATAGCTGGTTTAACGGATCATTTACTTAAAGAATGTGAAGCTTGTACACCAGGACAGTATGTTCGTTGTTCTAAATGTTCAGAAGCTGTATTAAAAACACATTTAAGCAATCATCATTGTTTACCTATCAAATTACCATCTGGACTACGTTGTCCACTTTGTCATCATGATTTACCAAATTTACCAGATTCAGTTGCTCCTGGTGGTCCAGAAGATGTTTGGAAAGCTCATTTATTAGGTTCATCCAATAGTACCATTCAAATGCCTCAATGTACAGAGAATCCAAGAAGTTTACAAAGTCAACAACAGAAATATAATGGCCACTTCACAAAAAGTACCAGTAACTCAGAAGCTAGTGAGTAGTTTTTGAGGTTTTTTATTTATTATTTATTTTAACACATAAGTATAGGTACAGGGAGGCACCAAGTACATATGCGCCACACGAATCTCAATTGATATGTGTGAGGGCTGTGATACTGCCCGGGTGCCCAAACCGAAGCAGGTGGTTTTCTTAGGGGGCCACACCCCGATCCTTCGACCTGAACGTCTGACCCACAAGGCAGTGGGGCATCGTAAGGAGATGCAGTCCCATGGTAGCCGGTGACCAACGATTGGTTCATACGCCATTTGTTCCTTCAGGATACTGGAGCCCATGTGCACCATTGGTTTGGGGTCCGGTCAAAGCGCCGGACATTCGCTTTTCGTCCTCTCATTTTTGTAAACAACACCCCCGCCACGAGAAGGCAGTGAGTAGGACTTCCCTGGCAGAGGCTGTATACGCGTGGCCATGTGAGAGCATTTCGAGAGGGAGAGCGGACTCTCCCCACTCTCGGCCGTACCAGGGCATTTGGGGGCTTTTAACATTTTCTGTCTTTTTCAGTTAGCGATTTGAGGTATAATTTTGATTACTGATAGTTTGAGATGAATTCCTGTAGTTTTTTATGGGAAGTCGTGATTAGTATTGATAGTTATCAATAAATATCGCTAGATAACGGGCAAAGTGTATCATAGATTGACCACATTTGGAAGTGCTAATCATACAATTTTCAACTTCGCTGTCTAAATATAACTTGGCAAGGTCTTGAACTCAGTCCAGGATGAAATCGTTCGTGTTCACTGATGAAAAGTAAGCCTATTTAGTCTACTTATTAAACTTCGACAGTAAAAAAATGTTATATTTGCAAAGATGGTTGTTAGTCATTTGGTGTGAATCATGGACAATCTGTCTTCAGATCACAAGTTTATGTAATTGTATGCAGATTTGAAGTGAGAAAACACCATTGGTCATAAATTTAGATAAAAATTCTTGTTAACTTTGGTTTGGGCGGCTTGGTAGTATCATCGGTCTCCACACAAAACGTATAATTCTAAGCTAACTACTCAAATATTTGTATTTCGTAAACAAGTCAAATGATTTTTATATTTCATGTTTGCTAATACTTAAAAGATCGTTATTTTGTAATGAATCACTCTGGTTGTTGGCTCGAACTGCGATCCAAATAATTGAAACAGTAGACATAAGGGACTGTAGCTACACAGCGACCAGTTATATCTTTGTTTCAAAAAGTAGAATATGCAGTTTGAAAGCTATTTGATTCATAATAATATTTATTAACATAAATATATATATATTTTCGATTGTAATCATGAATCGATCGATGTTTGACCACCTTTGAAAATGTGGAAGCACTGAACGGCTGTCTCGTCCTAGCATAGGACTCATCAGTAGTGCTCATGCACGATCCCGCACTCGGGACTCGAACTCAGTTTAGTTCTCTTTTTTTTTACAGAAACTAGTTCACTTCTTAGAGGTTAATATTTGTAAATATATTTATAGAATCACAGTTATTTTATAAGTAATACTTTTGTTGTAGACTACGATTCGATTGTTTATCATTAAACAACTTATTTTCAATCAAATCGACATTGTTATCTACTTTAATCTTCTCTCTCTCTCTCTCACTTTCCTCTGTATGTAGATAAAACGAAAAGTGGGATACCTCGACCGTTTAATGTAAACAAAGTTCGTCCAGTTTAACTAACTTGTACTTTATTTGCTATAGTTTGTTTGTTTTGTTTTTTTTTCAAAAGAAAGAAAATCATTTTCTTTCTACCAGTTACAATTTTATTGTTTCAATCTCTTTCTAAATAGAATTTTTTTTCAATCATGTAATATTCTGTCGATCTATGTATTCTTGGCTCACAAGTGGATTTCTTGTTCATGAATAGAGGTAGTCGTGTAAATGTGGTTTACTTTAATTTACTTTCAATATATGAAAGAGGACATTAATGTATATGAAAAATAGAAGACGAAGAATTACCTCCATTTAGTTTTTGGTGAATACAAGCAATTTATATAAAGTCTGTAAATTGGTCAATCTTATTTTCTCATCTGAATCAGTAATTCATTGTCATTAAATGAAGTTTTGTGTATGTTGGTTCAAAGCTTCATTCTTTCATCATTTCATGCTTGTATACATTGTTGTTATAATCTTATAAGTAATATACCTTTGTTTAAAAGAAAATATTTGTCAAATAACTTATTGTTTGATGAATTACAGTTGTTCACACTACTATTAATTATAATTATATACCTGTTATTAACTCTAACATTTGGTTTACGATATAACGCTGGTACTGTCATAACCGGTATATCTGTGTGTTTACTGAAGTGTTCGTTTATTATACTTTACAATTCTTATTTTTTATCATTTATTAATCAACTTAAGATTAAGCATTTAAAAAAACAGTATTGATTGTTTTGGTTTTTTCCTCCAAATGGAGTATTTTAAAAGCAATAAACCAACCTCAATCGTGCAAGTTTCATCAGCCCTGGTGGGTTGATTTCTAACGAGATCTCGGTATATATTCAGAAAGCGCAATCGACTTTTGTCATCTTGTGTTGGTTCTGGAGTAGACAAGATTTATCTTACTCTATGGCTGTGAAACAGTCTTTTAAAGTACAATAGCTGCCTAGGCTGTAGATTTTTGGCCATAGATATCTTTTAAGGATACCTCACGTTTGGTGGATAGGTTGAGTAAACGTCGACAAGCAATCTTGACTGTTGTTGGAGTTGGTTAGAAAAAACCTAGTGGTGATCAAACCATAATTTAGCGTCAGTTCACAAAGTCATTAACTGTTGATCCAACCATGTTACTTAATGCAGTCTATCTGGTGGGTTCCCTGAAATAATCTCAATCAGTATTGTTAAGGCCTAGAATCGGTTACAGTGAAACAGATGAATTTAGTATCTGTTCCTGTAGGTCTTCATTTCCGGTATACCCCAACGTTTCATCATTCTGTTTTTTCGAACCATATTTTCAATGTTTAGTCCTCACTATCATTACTACTAACTTATTCCGACTCCTTAATATTCATCTTGTTGATCACATCTCAGGCTTGTTGTATGGTTCGGTAACTTGGGCCAAAGCACATTTGTACCAGGTTCCATGCTGATGATGACTGGCTGATCACAAATCAATGATAAGCTAGCTAAGGATCAACCTAACGGATTGCTAAATTGCTATAACCTTATTCTGTACATCTGCAAATCAAGCCATGTGATCGAGTATCACTTCGTCAATTAATCCGTTTATTTCGTTAAAGACTGTCTGAGCAACTCATCTACACTTTTAAATGCATCAGTGGACTTTTCGACTATAATTTTTTGATGAAAAACAAGTACATTTGAGCTTATATCGTGACACCTGAATATGAGGAATATAAATAAACTTAAAAGGTGTGGTTCGAACAAATTTAGAATTAAATATTAAAGAGGTTCAACAATAAACAAACAGTACTTTGCATTAAACTCGTTACTGAATTTTTAAGGCTTAGATGAGAATATTGTGTTGGTAACCTGTTGCACTTATCTTCTTTTAAGACAGATTTAGTACTTTCGATTAATTTAATTATATTTTAATAGTACTAATCTTTTTGATAGTACACTGAGATCGCAACATAACTAATAGTTCGAGAATAGGGACAGGGGTTATAGTATCATTGAAAGTCTGATAGAAATAGCTAAGTACATTTTAAACAGGTACATTAAAATTGTAGGACAATAGGTCATGAGTATTTTTTACAAAAATTGGAAGTTGTCTTTGTAATTTCGACTGGTAATGAATAAATATGTGGTCAAATAGTAAATGTTCCTTGAATTAAAATATATGTCAAATCGGAAACGTCGAATGTTTAAGTATCTTTGTTTATCCAATTTTATGTAAAAGTTATTCATTGAGATGAATGTGTCAGCTTGCCCAGGGCAGAGTATGAAGAGTGCTAATGGGCGGCCTATGCGCCTCCATGGGCGGAAACAGGCGTAAGTTGCTGGTTGATTACATCTAGCTGGGCGTTCTTCCACTTTGTCCGACAAATACTCGAAATGAGATCATAAGAACTTTATTTAACAAGTTTATGGCCTTTTCTTTTAAGTGAAACTCATTTGTGGTAATACACGTCCCATATACATTTATGTTACTCAAAAAATTTTTGAAAATCGGGTTAACAGTTAACATCGAAATTCAGTTCATAAACAGTCATTCACACAGTTAAAAGTATTTGACAGACTGTATATATCCGATATTTTTCCTAATCCAAGAGAACAACCGTCATTCTGGCCTCGGACAAGCCTCACAGTCTTCATAGACTGCATAGAAGGGGTAAATATACTTGAAAAGTTCTTATTTTTGGTATTATCTACATAGACAGACATCAACATTTCATGATATTCGTGAAAAGTTTTCTTTATTTTCGCCCAAAAAACTTAGTTGCTCAGCTTCCTTATTTATTAGACAAACTCTTTATGTTTAAGTTGTTTGGCTCTACGTTTATGAAGTTTCCAACACATTCCACGCATGAATCCGTTAATTGTGATATGTACTCAGCCAAAAATGACTTAATCATTTACTCTATCAGTTTGTAATTACTGATTATATCAATTACGAGGGATATAGGCCTGACAATGCTGGCTCCGTGGAACGTGACATAAAAGCGGTTGAAAGTGTTGTATGGGATAATCAACAAGGATTTCGCATATATGTTTATTGTAGATATTTCTATACATTTTGAATTCAACTTCATCACTTGGTTTATTTCTTGCCAAATGAGCTTCTGATAATTTGTTTTTATGCTACTTTGAAATGTTTTAACTAGGCCCAACAGAAATGCTTTTGTATTTCTGTGTTGTTATGCATCCAACGTTGTTATCATTGTATATTTTTGTGGCCCTTTGATCTTAGATTTTAATGAACGTATGAATATGCTATGGACATAAAATTGTCATTTAATTATGTATATTACGTAGACTAACTCCATCTGTGTGACGTCGGTAAGAAGGCAAATACGGATTCTGTTGGACGAATTTATTTCAAGTACTCATTTATCGAGACAGGCATTCAGAATAAAAAGCGAAGTGAAGAAGGCATGTGTGCCAACTCCATTTTATCGGGCGACTCAATATTTCTGGTTAGACAAAAATAAGCCAAAGACATTTGATGAACAGGGTAAGCGATGGATACATAGCTCATATAGAAACAGTCAAGGTTAACAAGCTAATAATTGACAAGGTCAAAATGTCACTGGAAAATGAATAAACTGTTCTGTTCGTAGGCTAGAATAACCCATTTTCGTTTGACATAGACTAAACACTACAGTATAATCGTACGGGTGTAACGGGACTCTGAACTATTCTATCTTTAAGAACTTTGTTATTTTCAGGTGACACGATTCATTATAATGGTTCCAATCAGTTTTCTCAAAAGTTCTCTTACTACGTAATTCACTACTAATATTTTATGTTTAATCCCTAATTGATGGAACTACATGATGCACATTCTTTTCTTAAAAGTAAATTTCGCTGATAATTAAAATTTAAAAAATAATTTTTACCTAAACAATTGAACTAGGATACACTCCATTGTGCTTGTTTAATGAAATGCTAATCTAATGCGAAAATCTCAAATGAAAAAATGGTTTAAATAAAAGTATAGTATTCAGACTAGTTGATAATTATTTATTACTTCGTACTTGGTAACCAATAAGCCTCTTGCGAGGTCACGATACCACCACGGACACTTTCGTGCGATAATGAACACGTTAACTTTAAGCCTATGAGCCAGGATTCAGTGCTACAAATTTTCGATTTTAGTCGGCTACCAGTGTATACACGACAATTATCCAGTGTTACTAGTATTAACTTACGCACTATTGACTTAAATGAATTCAACCAGTCACATCTTTTCATTGAAATAAGCGAGATGTATCTCGATACTAGTCATACTAGCGAGTTAATGTTTACGGTCTAATTTATGTGTACATCAATAACGAACATACAATGGTGAGGAATGTTTAACTTATACAGGACATCTGTTCACTGCTTCCTCGTTTTCCGTGGTACTCCGATAGATATAAATTCATAGCAAAAATTCATCTTCGTAAATTCATGATTATTATTATTTAATTATCTGTAATCACTGGTATTTAGGTAAGAACAACCATAATGTAAATATCTATAAACCTTATCAGAATGGATAAATTTAATCATAGACAAATTTACTACAAAAAAATCTATCTATTACTCCATCGTATCGTTTTTAGAAATTTAATTGATATATCTAATTAAAATGGGGGGTTTGTGAAGGTTGTAATAATTTAAATAGTTGTATTCATGAATCAATTTATACCAGACCATCATTGAAAACCTGAAAGCACTAGACGGCTATTTCGTCCTAGTATACGACTCCTCAACAGTGTGTATCAATGATCTAACATACAAGACTCGAACCCAGGACCTTCAGTCGTGCGTGTTCACTCACGAGGCCGACTCACGAATTCAACTATTAAAATTATATATCTTAAAATTAAATAAATGAAAATCGATGAAGCAATTCATATAAGTATTAATTATCAAGGGAATTTCATTTCCCATTTTAAATTATTATTCGAGTCACTCGACATTGATTGGAATATTAATAAAACAAATTATTTTATATTGATTTCTTTTTGTTTATTTTTTCTTAAATTTTAATAATCATAATTTTGTTTTTGCACGAAGTTTCTGTATCCTCTTGTCTATTTCTTGTTTGGTAATTTGATCTTGTTAGCTAAACAAAAAGAATGTTACAGTCTTGAATTAGATAGAATTAGAGTGATGAAATAAATCACATGTTTATGAAAACACAAAAAAATGTAGAATTCCACTTGGAATGGGTTTTTTGTTGTTGTTGTTGTCGTTGTTGTTGCATCATTCCCCCCTGCAATGAAATTAAGGATAATTACTGGTTTTTAATGCAAAAAAATTATGATTGTTTATATAGAATGGATTGTCTTCTAGTATTTAACATTTTATTTATGGAATTTATATTTAAAAAATAAAAAAAGTTATGTTGGTGAAAAATTTAAAAAGAAACGAAAAACATCTGTTAAAATTAAAAAAAATAATTGATCAGAAGAATAGAGCAAGTTATTGAGGAGATTTTTCTGTTTCCTTGATGGTTTAATTCGTTATATTGGATATTTCAGGAAGAAAATGTGTAAATATGAATAATATTTTTGTGGGTTAAAATGCAAAATGGTATTATTCTTGTTACTAAGAGATTGTAAACAGAATTAATGTGATTGTAGAATTTTTTAAAAGTAAATCCACTGTTAATTTATTGTTTTATATCCATCTACTCTTTTCTTATATCCAGGAGGAATTAAAGTCTTGTATTTTTAAGACTTACCTCATATAACATAGTTTCAAAAACTTT